TTTAGCTCTAATACGACCCCTTTTTTTTTTTATTCCGTTCAGGCCTGATTTAGCTTTAATACGACCCCCATTAATAATCCGAAGTTAACATTAACGACTTCGGCTACGCAGCTGATATCTCTCTTTCCAACTGCCTGTGCATTTATGAGGAAACCATGGGAGAGGACCCTGACGAACTGACAGACATGTGGTTAGATCTGAGCCCTCAAGATTCGGGAAAGTTCGACCTCTGATGCTTCGACTTTGAACCTAAGAGTGTGGGGCTGTCAGTGCGACGTCCAGCGTCAGGGCTTTAAGGTACGGCGCACCACCTATGTGATATAAAGATCCTCTGCAGTATCTTCAGGAACGCATGATCAAAACGTAAAGAAAGAATGTTCATCGAACTTCTGCATCAGGATGGCGACGAGGCTGGCTAGCACTGCCAAGGGTCTGAGATCACGAAGAGGCTCGGAACTGCCAAGCGCAGGAAGGGGTACCAGCTCCTGGGATGTGTCCAGAGCTTAACCACAAGGCAAAAGGCCAACTCTATCATTCCTATCATACCACTCCTGGTGTGTGGTGGTGGGGATGACCTGACCTATACTTTCCGCGGACCTCTTACGAGCACGCCATCCCTCAACCAATACAGGGCCGAGGGCCAAATCAGAAAGCCATAGCGCAGGCCTGCTGCTGTAAAGAGTCTATAATGCTTTAAACGAGAAGCAGATAATTTCGTCTAGCCACAACAGAGAAAAGCAAAAATCCGCTAACCCAAAGCTCCCATAGTTTTGTATGTATCACCGGGTATTTACAAGGGGTAGTCCATGACCACTAGGGGGTTACAGGATGTCTCCGAAAGGACAACCCAGATTCGTAAATGCCCGTCTGGAGAGGCCCTGCCAGGACATTGTCAAGGAAGATCGTGTGGCAAGCAAAGTCTGTCCAACCATCCAAAGCCTGTGTCAAATCAAAAGGGTTCCAGTGGTTCCATGGAGATTTTACATGAATGAGACAAGCATAAATGCAATGAGTCTGTGAGTGGTCAGGGAGTCAGGGATTCTGAAGGGGCTTCACAAGGTGGATGCAGAGAGAGACACAGAGAGATAGAGAGAGAGAGAGAGAGAGAGAGCGGAGAGAGAACGTGTCTCTCAAGCCGTGAAGTCAAATAGAGGCCACTCCAGTAACGCCGAACCTCGCCCGTGAGAATCCAAAGCAAGACAAGCCACATGAGGAACAAATGCCCCAAGGAGGTTGCAATTGCTGCGCCATCGGTTCCCAGAGCCATCGGGTGCACCAGAAACCAGCACAATGGAACGAAGCCTGCTAAGAGTATGACTCCTCCAGTCCCTTGCATCTTCGTAACTCGCTGTGCTGCCAGCCAGTTCTCCAAGCATATGGTCACCTGGATTTTAGATCCATTTGTTGGGCTCCATGTGATCTGACAAAGATAACGAGAACGATGACAGCATCAACAGCAACCCAACAATGAATGTCATGTTACTGTGGCTTATTTATCCTCAATCTGACCAGCTGTTTGGAGGATGTCTCTCAGATCTGCGGAAGAGCCACCATGTAGCAGCAAAGGCCAGGGAAGAGATATTTCAAGTAGGTAGCCGCCAGGCAAGCGATCGCCTCCTCTTGCCCGGTAGTCACCAGCAGCCACTTGCTGTTGAGCCAGAGTGCTCCAACAGCACCCAGGACAATGCTGCAAAGAATCAAACATCGCCTCATAGCCAGTGTCATGGATGTCTACATGACCCCGGAGGCAGACCACCCCCACACGATGACCCAGAAAAAAACTCCTTGAGACTTGAAGCTCTGGCAGGATCAACAAGGCCATGGACATGTAACAACTCAACCAACGTCGAGCAGAGCAACCACCCGTTTAAGGACCACTGCGCTTGCTTTTGTCGCCAATTCCCGGAGAGTTGGGGGTCCCCGGAGATCCTCTCATTTAGCACAGGAATAGCACACGGCCATAGTCGTACAGTTGCCGGAGCAAGTCTTGCAACACCCTACGAACCTTCTCCCCAAGAGTCCCACTTGCTGCAAGATTTCCTCGTATCCACAGAGGGATCCCCTGAAGCGCCAACTCCTGAACCCATGATCCCTAAACCCTACTTGGAGGCCCATGGGACTTAGTAATCACTTATAATGGGGCTTATAACCTTAATTATAATCCCCCTAAATGGGCTTATAGGGGTTACCTCAGTTACAAGTAGGGTTATAATCCCAGTTATGAATACTTACTAAGTCCCATGGGGCCCCAAGGAATGAAACCAAGGTGCTGGAGGCTCAGGGAGACTTCCTCAAAGTTCTTTGCACCAAAGGCTTGCCCGGCGGTGGTTTGCAGGGTGGACGAAAGTCCCACCAACACCTGATTCTCACTGATCACTCTCCCTATAAGAATACTCCCTGTGTACTACCCTAAACCCTAAACCCTAAGGTTGGCCCCTAAAACCCTTTGAAACATATTCGTATATAGGGTCCCTTATCAAAGCCATTAGGGGAAATATTAAATATCCTAGGGGCCTACCCAGTGTACTAGAGCTGCCGACCGAGGAGCCTTGGCTTTTGAATGCTTTAGGGTATAGGGTTTAGGGTTTAGGGGTTTAGGGGTTTAGGGTTTAGGGTTTATGTTCTTCATATATTCGTTCTTACATGATGACTGGAACATACATGCAGATCAGTGTTGGCACTTACACTGAAGATGCAGTTGAAGATACTTCCCTGGAGCCTATTCATCCCATGTAAATCATAGAACTCTTCAAACCAATGAAAATGACTATGCTGCAAAACACTTGGTGCATGACACTGTGATACTACAATCTCATCATTCCCGACACTTGGGGCAGCCAGTCATGCAGGGTGTGGGTGCTATGGTTTAGGGTCAGCAACAGAACCTTGAAGTTTTGCATATGTACATTAAATAAAACCTTGCGGGGTCATGTCTAGGGTAGTGATATGTAGGGTCAGGGAGCAGGGGTGCCGCCGAATAAGGGTTGCAAAGCCTCTAACACTGGCTTCCGCAATTTACGAGCCTGTGATAGCCGCCCTCACATGTGATCACCCCAAGTCCTTCTCAGAGTTGCTGTAGGCCAGGTGCAAGGCACCCAAAATGTGAACTTGTAGCGATCAGGCTCAAGGATCTTGTTTACTTCACTGTTGTTACAAATAAGCCTCTTGCTGGGACTACTTGGATTCGGGGCTGATGTTTTTAGGCATCCATGTTGGCAAAGGGTTTTTCTTCACCCTATAACTCGCATGACATGAAACATTCTCTGAGCCCCGGAGGACGTCAAGGCACCGTGTAGCCCGAAACGTTGGCCAAGCTAATGGCCAAGCCTACAGCGGCCAGCTCCCTCTCGCCAAGGTGTCCTTACTAACTTGACAAGTTTCTCAAGATAGAACTTAACCATTTTCTACTTTCAGAAATACAAAACCAGATTAAGAACACGTCTTTCACATAGGGAAGACGGGGGAGTTTAGCATACGGGGACGGGGTCCAGCAATAGCAGTTGGCTCCAGGGACCCATGGGCATGGGTCCATGGCTACAATTCTGCATTTTAGCTGCCTCACCATGTGTATCCAGAACTGAACTTTTTGAAGTAACTACGTTGCATCTCCACTAGCTTCCAGGAGATTATGTAGGGTTGACCTAATTCCAGAGCTAACAAGGAATCAAACCTCCCTCAGCCATCTCCTATCTGCATGAGGCTCACCAGACCTTTGAACCGCCCAGTGTCCCACGATCACAGTGGATGCTGTGGTGACGAGGCCTAGGATGTAGGGCTTAGGGGTTTCCACCTAGAGCTCGCGGTTAATTGGGGTCTAGAGTTCATCCTTTGCTGTGGATGTTGTGATATCACCGGCCGCAGTTTTGATGGTAGCTTTCGTCGTGCAATCGCTGCATTTATAACTAGCGACGCGCCGTTGATGGAGAAGATTTGGCACCACCTTATACACGCAGTGTACGTCTAGCATCAGGAATTGAACGCAACGCATGCGGGGCTCTAAGTGGTGCAATTTTCATCCGTCCAATGCAACTTTAACGCTTCGAATGCAAGTACGAATTAAGCCAGGACCAGAATGATAAACAAAAAAACGTCATGAGGACCGCATTTGACAATTAACAAACTTCAGCAGCAAGGACCTCGAAAGGCAAGAGGCGGAATTCCACGAAGGGAGGCCAGAGGGAGAGTAGAAATTCTAGCAGGGCGACCCTCGAAAGAACGGTTGATGGACAAAAATCCTGCGTGACCTGAACCGTGTGGCATGGGGTATCATACTGTGGCCTAAGAAAGCCTAAGAAACTACCAACACCAAATTCAGGTCTTTTTGAGGGTTACATCAAGCAATACTCATACAACGGACCTAGGACCACAACATGAGTAATCATTTGTGAAAATCTACGGGCACCAGGTCCTACATTCATGTGAATTATAATGCAGACCTGTGATTGATAAAACCCCTCCCCTTAAAAAGGGTTATAATAGGGATCCTGATACTAAGGCCCTTCATAAAAGGGAGGGGGTTTATGAAATCATGGGTCTCCATTAGTCTAAACTCCAAATATCCCCCTTACTTAATAACCCCTAAAATGCTCCCCCATGTAACCCCACATATAGCCCCCGCTCGAGGAGACTAGACCCTAAACCCTAATCCCTAAACCCCATATAATAATCCTATATAACTTCCTTTAAGGAGATATTTTTGAACTATACCTCATTTTGGCATTCTAAACTACTAAAATTACAGTGGCGAGCAGCGATTTGTCAGGAAGCCTACACACACTGGAGCAGCCAGACGAAGCTGGGCCAGTGCCTCCTCTGCGAATAGAAAGGTTTGGGGGATTCAGTGTTTAGGGTTTAGGTTTAAGGTTTTGGGTGTAGGATTTAGGGATTTGGTAACCCGACTCCGAAAATTGAGACCCCGTAGAGGGTTTAGGGTCTGAAGGGCCTTGGTAAACCCAATCCCAAAATTGAAACCCTATAACTATCATTGGCATAATCGGATCCCTCTCTTGGAGTTACTAAGCTCCTCTTATGATCTGCAAGGGGTCACCGCTTATTGTAAAAGCCATTTTAGCAAGAATTGGCCTTGGGATACACGATTGTAAAGTGTGCTCAGGGATTCGAAAAGGCAGAATGATGTGAGGAATAGTCTAAACTCCGAGTATCCCCCTTAACAACCCCTGTAGTAGTCCCTATATAATCCCCTACATAACCCCTTTAAGGAATTTAGGACCTGAAACCCCAAATCCTAAACGCTATATAATCCCTACATCACCCCTCGTTTAAGGAGTTTAGACTATAGCTCGTGTGTATAGCTCATGTGTTTTTGTCAAGTTTCTTTCTTGAGGACTCCATGGAAGAGACCTCGGTCGAGAAACCCTGGAACACCCACCAACAAGATCAAGGGTTTAGGGCTTATTACCCTAGACCCTATGAACCCTAACCCTACGCCCTAAAAACCCTAATCCTTAAACCATAAA